ATCTTAAAAAATAAATAAATAAAATTTCCTCACCTTGGTAGGTATATAGAAGCTTATTTCTTTTTGGAAAGAAGCACACATTTTGCAGACACAGGTGCAGTAACTGAGTACTTTCCTTATGCAGACTCATTGCCCTGAGCACTCTGTAAATTGGGGGTTAAAATCCCCACTATTTTCAGCCCTCCCTAGTGGCACAATGGGTTAAATCGCAGCTCTAAGAAGCTAGTTGCAGCTGCTTCAGTGCCAGTTCAATTCCCGGCCAGGGAGGTGACCCACATGGCGCAGCAGACCCCTCCTGACTTGTCCACTGCTCCCCAAAGCAGTGTACTTCTTCAGTCAGCCTGTTTTTCCCCCACTCTATCTCTTGTGGATCCTCTCACTCTCTGCATCTCTGGCCTGTACCCCATTCTGTATGCATACATACATAAATCTTTAAAAAAAAAAATCTCCACTATTTTCATTTAACCCTGGAGGTAGCTAAAAAGCACTGCCACTTTGCAGATGAGGGAACTAAAGCTCACAAAATTTGAGTCTTTTCCTCCTGATCACAGAGCAGAGGGGTTGAATTCAGACCAGTCAGGACTCTCCTTCTTACTCTACCACAATGCCCCTGGAATTATTTCTTGCCTGGGAGATTATGTATTTTTCATAAAGGTCTTCATTCAATATATAAATAGCTGCATGAAGCATGGGTAATATATAAGGGACTTAAACCTGAAATGAGTCTCTGCTAATAAAAAACCCAATGTAATTGTCTCTATAGCTACAGGTCTTGGAGAACTTGTAGTTTAAGGGCGCTTAGAAGGCTCACAACCTCCAGGATCAGGGGATTCTGGGTTGTACTGTTGCCATGCCAAACCCAAGGACAAAAAACTACAAAGGAATCTCAAGCCACATGAAGGACTTGCCTTAGGAACAAAAGCAATGAATGACTCACATTTTTCCTATTTCTTGGGCATGTTATCAAATTATACTTTCTAGGAGAGAAAAGGATCTGGTGGAAAATCAATTCCTTTGACAGACGCTTTCCAAATTCTCAATGTATTTTATTTAAATGGTTACCATCATTGAAAAATCTAAAAGCTTGGTTTCCAGCACTGATTTCCATCTGCCAAGCCATAGCTACATCAGCCATAACAATTATAGAGCAGTCTTGTGCAGGATATTCGGTTAGTTTAAGTTTATGCCAAACTTACCAATGTAGGAACAACTGTTACTATCCCACAGTGACGAAAGAACAACTATTGTTCAAATAAATATCCTGCTGATAGAAGTAGCGGGGCAAGAGCTGGCTTTTATGTGAAATATGTCCCATTTGTGAGCAATGAACAAAGAACATATCCAGACAGTTAGATTAAAGTGTTTCTTTTTCCTAAATCAGTCATGTATAAAAATGTTAAATTCAATGCCGGTCAAGAGTGAAACACAGTATTAAACACTGCTGGAGAGAAAGTAAATTGGAAAAATCTCAGGAGCAACTAGATAGCATGTATCAAAAGTTTCAAAGTTCACAGTGTTTCACTTAGCCTTTATTCCTGGGTTTGAGTTGTAAAAGAATCTGAAATTTAGTCAGGGATTTCTGAACAAAGATGGTCATGGCTTTGCTATTTATAATGGGAAAAAAAATCAGAGCACAACCGAAATCATGCTATTGCCATAAAATGGAGAATGAAACAGCCATTAAAAATGTCCACAAAGCGGGAACTCCCTGGTGGTGCAGCAGGTTGGAGCGCTGCACTGCGAAGCTAAACCAAGCCGTGGCCTTTTCAGTGTGAGTTCAAAACCTGCCCCGGAGCTGACCCACATGGCCAGGCAGACCTCTCCTGTCTTGCCCGCTGCTCCCCTCAGCAGTGTACTTTGTCAATCTGCCTCTTCTGCTCCCCACTCTTGTCTCTGGTGAATTCTTTCACCGCACCTGCACCTCTGGCCATACCCCAGTTCTGTATGCATAAATAAAAAAAATCTTAAAAAAAAATCCACAAAGCATTAAAAATGTTCACAGAGGGCCTTGTTAGTGGCCTGGGGGTTAAATCTCAGCACTGTCACTGTTAGGGCTGCGAACACAGGTGATCCCTGGCCATAGAATGGAAATATTCTAGAGAATAGAAAAATTCCTATTTTCTATGAGGTCAATAAAGTTAGATTGCTCAATACAACACAAATGGGTTTTAGCTTGGGATTCAGAATTAGATGTACTTATTTAAGCAATTAAAATAATCATTGGCTACTTACCAGGATTCAGCACTTGCAGGCAATTTCGATTTCCTGACTGGTCGGCACCTCCAAATACCCAGATACTGTCAGGGGTGCAGGAGGGAACGAAGCTGGCATGCTCATACCGGGGCAAGAGGCCCTCCAGGGTGACTAAGTTCCATCGGTGTGTTCCTAGAAAATATTTTACTCAGTTCCTAGATTGGGTTGCCTACTTCTTATACTGGTTGACCACCTTGGGGAAAGGCAGAAAAGAGGGTCAAATGCATAAACACGTAACTGCAGATCACTAAGGTAATGTGCTCAACCTCTAAAAGGTTCAGCAATGTTACATAGAACTTACAAAAATTGCAAGTGCATCACTAGTTGTTTCTGCCATGTGCACAGTACACAGTGATAACCATTCATTTGTTCATTCACTCATTTATTCACCTAACATGGAACTATGGAACCTTTACTCTGTGCCAGGAATGTAGTAGTGCCTGGGATTCAATGATGAGCAAGTGCCTTATTAACAAGGAGCTTATACTCTTGTAAAGAAGACAAGAAACAATCATGTGAGAAAGAGTCGTAAAAGGGAATAAATTGGGAAGGCACAGGGTACCATGGAAATACAGAGTGGTTATGACTTTGTGATTTCTATTAAGAAGTATGTATTTGGGCCCTCCCTGGTGGCACAAGGGGTTAAGTGCAGTGCTATGCATACATGCATAGCAGCCACTGCAGCATGAGTTCGAGCCCCGGCCAGGGAGCTGACCCACACGGCGCAGCAGACCTCTCCTGTCTCCCCACTGCTCCCCTCAGCAGTGCATTTCAGTCCATCTGCCTGTTCCGCTCTCCAATCTGTCTCTAGTGAATCTTCTCACACTACCCCCTCCCTGTACCTCTGACCTGCACCCCAGTTTTTATATGCAAAAATAAATCAGTAAAATCATAAAATATATATGTACATATTTTGTATATATTCATATGTATATTGTGTGTGTGTATATATTATTATTATTTTTTTTTTTTGGTCTTCATCATTTCCAGCTGGTGCTGCAGAATTGGTATGGGGGTGGGGAGAATCCTAACCTAGGCATTTGGGAGCCAGAAGTGAAGACTGAGACTAGTGTTGAAAGGAGACATAGGAACAGAGAAGCAAAACCGGAGTTTCTCTTTTACAGAGGTGGCCCTAAACTAGTCCAGAGGCTTCCAGGGCAGCTTCCTAATGGAAGTAACATTTAACCCAGGATCTGAAAGGTCAACAGCAGCTGGGTGATAAGGAAAGGGGAAAGCTTTTCAAGCAGAGAGAACAATATGTACAAAGACCTAGAGAAAGGAGTTCAAGATGTGTTCAAGGAAATGAAGGCTATTCTGTGCAGCAAACATGGGCTTGAGAGACCGAGAAGTGAAGCTGAGAAAGGCTTGACATGTGGAAGTGATGTGATCAGATGTGTATTGCAGACACTACTCTCTGGCTGGGTTGGAAAATGGACCGCACTGGGGGCAAACCTGGAAGCAGGGAGACCAGAGCGGAGCTGTGGTAATGGTCTAGTTGAGAGTAGTGAGGATGGACAGACATGGATGAAAAGGGACATCTAGTGTGATTAATTGGATGTGAGGATGACAGAGGGGGTGGAGTCATCACTGTCACCCAGAGAAATTTCCTGGACAGCCAGGACTTCTCAGGAGACTTTCCTGCCAAACGAGGATGTAACGAGTTGGTGGATGAGTCCAGCAGCCTGCGGAAACTGTACGGACCTCTTAGTGATGCTCATTTTCTTTGAAACTGCTGTCTGGTCTGAACTGGCGTGCTTGGGAATGGTCAGGACTGGCAGCACAAAGCTCAGCTCTCCGGCCACCCGGCTTGTGCTCTGTAGCTGCTGGTCTTACCCAGATCCATGGTGTGCACATCTGAGAAGCTCCTGTTTGGATCTGCTCCCCCAATAATGAAGACCTTCCCTCTCTTGGCATCACCAAGTGGGGGCAAGTACGAGCAGCTGTGGCCAACCCGAGCGCAGGGGCTGTCTCCAGGGGGGGTCAAGATATACCTGCCAAAAGGAGGACCCATTCAGATGGCCTGAGCAGAGAATAAATGTGCAAAGTGTTCTTTCCATGCCTCATGAAATATTCACCAGAATGAGGATCTTGCACACACACACAGACACTTTATCCAGCAAGCAGTATAGTTAACAACAGTAGAGTCCATTTGTACATAAACTTGGACTTTTTCAATGTGGCCACTGTTTCCAGATGACAGTAGTCTTGTGGGGATGCTCTGGGCTACTCATTGTCTCATTTGGCAGACAGTAGCTCTGGGCTACTGACATCCAGAAGTGTTCACTGGTATGTTCTGGCACAGGGTGGTAGTTACAAGGACAGGTGAGGCAGACAGATCTAGTTTTCATCCCAGTCCAGGCATTTCCTAGTTATGTGACCTTTTAGAAGTCACTAAACCTTTCTGAACCTCAGTTTCCTCATTTGTAAAATGAGGAGAGCAACAGTTTTTATCTAGAGAGGTGACCGTCAGAACAAGATGAAGTCTTGTAACAGATAAAGGAAGGACTCAGTGAATGGGCCTACAGGTTTATGTTCAATCACACTAGTGAGTGATGCATCCCTCGGGCCGGTAATGTTCTTACAAAGCTGGACCTGGGCCCTCCCTGGTGGTGCAATGGGTTAAAGCGCAGCACTATGAAGCTATCAGCAGCCACTGCAGCATGAATTCCATCCCCAGCCCGGGAGTGACACACATGGTGCAGCACACCTCTCCTCGCTGCTCCCCTCAGCAGCGTATTTCAGTTGATCTGCCTGTTCTGCTCCCCTCTGTTTCTGGTGAATCCTCTCCCCCTGCACCTCTGGCCCAAATCCCAGTTCTTGTATGCATAAATAAATAAATCTTAAAAAAAATTTTTAAAAAATGAAGTTGACCTGATGAAGCCAAAGCTAGACTTTGAAAAATCAAACACAGGACCCATTCATTCCACTCTAAAATTATTCTGATCACTCAGAAAACATTTACTTCAAACTTCTTACAAAAGAAAATTCCATTGCTGGGCTTCCCTGGTGGTGCAAGAGCTAAAGTCTCAGTGCTATGACATTATCACCAGCCCTCTGAAGCTGATCCACATGGCACATCAGACCTCTCTTGTCTCCTCTCTACTCCCCTCAGCAGTGCATTTCAGTAAATCCACCTGTTCTGCTCCCCACTCTGTCTCCAGTGAATCTTCTTACCACCCACGCCTCTGGCCTACACCCCAGCTCTTATATGCTGAAAAAGAAAATTCATCACTGTTTTTCAGGCCCTGCCTTATTTGATTTCTCTGGCATTTGAGCTACATATTCCCGACTCTTCCTTCCCTTCCCTTCTCCTTATATCACTTTCCCATACCTTTCCCTTTTGGTTTCTACCCACCTTCTTGGCTGCTCTTTCTACTTCTTCTCTGACACCTTTCCCATCATCAGCCTAACCTCCTCAGCCTTGTGCTTCTCTTCAGTTTACATTTGCTTAACTGTTGATCAATTTCAACTGTCTCAAGGGTTTCAATCACCACCCAGCTATATAGTCACCAGTGATTTCCAAATCTGTTTCTTTTCCATATCTCCCTTTGATACTAGATTCATAGGTCCTATTGCCATGTGATGAATTACTAATAACGTACTGTGCATGCTGCTAACTACAACTCTGATGTCATTTAATCTTCCCAGTGTCTTCTTTGAGGTCAGCACTATTTCATCAGCTGAGGTTTACCACTGAGAAACTGGGGTGTAGAATGTTTGAATATCTTACCCAAAAGCACCCAGTATTCCAGATACACAGTTATTATAACAAAAAAGTTCCTTACTGACTAGTTGGGAAAAGAAATGTTAAACAGATAATTTCACAGACATCCACTTCCTTTCAAGTGTGCTATAAAGTACAAGATAGGGCCCTCTCGGGTGGTGCAAGAGGTTAAAGCACAGCACTAGGAAGCTATCCACAGTCACTGCAGCATGAGTTTGATCTCTGGTCAGGGAGCTGATCCACCGGGCACAGCAGACCTCTCCTGTCTGGCCCACTGCTCCCTTCAGCAGCGTATTTCAGTCAATTTACCTGCTCTGTTCTCCACTCTGAATCTGGTGAATCTTCTCATCCCCCACACCACTAGCCTGTACCCGAGTTCTTATATGCATAAATAAATAAGTCTTTTAAAATAAGTTTTAAAAAATAAAGAAAGAGGGCCCTCCCTAGTGGCACAATGGGTTAGGACACAGCACTACAAGCTGGCCATACCCGCTTCAGTACAAGTTTGATCTCCGGGATCCTCTCACGGCTCCTGCACCTCTGGCCTGTACCCCAGTTTGTGTATGCATAAATAAATAAATCTTGGCCCCTTCCTGGTGATGCAATGGATTGGAGCACTGCACTGCAGAGCTAAGCCGAGCAGTTGCAGCTTCAGTGCAAGTTCAAGCCCCTGCCCTGGAGGTGATCCACATGGTTCAGCACAGCAGATCTCTCCTGGCTCACCCGCTGCTCCCCTTGTACTTTGTCGATCTGCCTGTTCTGCTGCCCACTCTATTTCTGGTGAATATTCTCACTACCTCTGGCTGTACCCCATTTCTATAGGCATAAAGAAATAGTTTTTAAAAATTGTTAAAAAATGATTTCTAAGGGGAGAATACCATGGTCAGATTTATGTTGGGGGGAGACCAAGTGTGGAGGCAGGAAAATTATCTCTGAGGCAGGAAAATTATCTCAGAGGCTCTCCAAAGTCCTACCGGAGTGTGGCTTCTCTCCCACAGCCCACTGTGAGTGCTGCTTCAGCACCACTCACATTTCATCACCATCACCAGCTCGGTCTGTAGCCCCAGGACACTGAGATTATTCACCTTCGTGCCTTTGGCCCCCACACACCTGCTGCCCCTGTCATGCCGGTGTTAGTTGTTGAATGAAGGGTTGGTTGAACAAGCAGTCAAGAAACAGTGAAGCCTGTTTAATCCAAACTCAGTTCCCTGAAAATCTTAAAAATGAGCCACGGCGTGGGGGAAGACACAGCATTGGTGCTGAGGATGCCAGATGGCCAGTGCCTGTCTCTTCCTGGTAAATGGATTTTAATAAAATCAACATCTGCTCAGTGATAATTATTACCCTACTATCTTTCCTCCAAAGACCTTCTCAGACTGTTTGAGTCTAATTACCAGAAACTGCAGTTGGTTTCATCTCTACCCTTTTTCATTGCTGATCAAACATGTTAGTAAACTACTTATAAATGAAACAAAAACTCATGTTTTTCTGTGTCTGAATCCTTCCTTACAGACCATGTTGCTTTCCTGGGCTTGTCTCCAGGCTCCAAGACTGGCAGCTGCTTCATGGTGTCCTATGCATAGAAATAAAGGCACTTTTTAGATATTTGTGATTATTTTCTGCCTAAAACACATAACAAACTATATTCCCCCTGCTTTAAAATCTCTCCTGTCAGGGTGCCAAACGCTAAGGATGGGTTAATTTGAATAAGCACTGCCACTTCTTTGATGCAATCAAATATTTGGGAGGCAAATTTAACACAACTTTTTAAAGACAATTTCAGAAGTTTTTTGCTAGAGTTTTCTTTGTCTGATTCTCAAGGAGAAGAGGCATATATCAAAATAAAATTTCAAAGGTCAGAAGAAGTTTATCAAAAGTAACACAATTTAAAGGCTGACAAGATACTGAACTCTAGAATAAATCTCGGCCTCCACAGGCTTTCAAAGTCTTGTGGATCCAACCTTCTTTCCAGAAACTGACTTCCAAAATTTTTAGTTATTCTGAGCCATTTTTGCTATATATTTGTTGCTTCTCTAATAGGGCAAGTCCTTTCATAACTTGTATCTTGTGCTATTTATTTCCCCTATCTAAAATGCTCCTTCCCTTTTGGTCAACTAGCAACTCCTACTCAACCTCCAAAGTTCAGTTCAGATGTCCTCTCCTCATCTAAATCGTCCCTTATTCCCTGGTATCCACTTATAACCTTCAAGTTATTTCCTACTCCCTGTGCTGTAAAGGTGCCAGTAAAGCCACCGTCATTGCAGGCACGACACTGAATGTAAAATTATCTATCTGGCTGGCTGGCTGGCTGGCTATCTAACTAAAATTCCTAGACCAACTTCCTAGAGTGCCAGCCCTGTCTGATACAGGGCCCCCACGTAGAGTAGAGCTGAGGGTTAATGAAGAAAGAAAATGGATGAGATTTCCAAGATATGGATAACCCGACAAGCACCCTACACCACTGACTGCTGTCCCCACAGCCCAGAGCTCAGTGGGATAAACTTCGCCGGGAGTAGAACATCCAGCAGCCACCCCTTCCAGGCCTATCAAACCCCCACACCCGCAGTCCCACACCCGCATGGGACCTGAGACAAGGTCGGAAGAGAACAGGCTAATGCCTTTCGGTTAGTGTGGCCGGGCCGGAGGCATGGACCTTCCCCGGCGCTCTCCACCCAGCCGGATCCCAATCCCCAAATCCCTGCCCGGAACCGTGCCAGATTCTGGGCCCGAAGACCCCCGTAGTTCCCTACCGCATTGCATTACCTGCGGAGGCTCCGGCCAGACGCGGGCGGTGACTTCGCCCCCAACGGGGCGGGGCTTAGTTTCTCGCCCCGCCCCTACTAAGCCCCGCCCCTAGACCCCGGAAAAGCGCCGCTGCCATCCGCTTGCTCCCCAGCTCCCCTTCCTGGGCGCGGCAAGGGGCGGCGAGGGGTACTCCATCCTGGGGTATCAGCCGTACTACGCTTTTGCTGGAACTAAACGGGCGGAGCCATACCTGGAGTAAATAAGTCAGGGCTACTTGGAAACGACTCTCAGATGTAAAGCTGGGGGCTGGGTGCCCACTTGGATGACCCAGTTCCTTGGGCAGCTGGGCTATCCTTAAAGGGACTAGGGTGTTTTCAGTACCAGGCGTCGCTAGGGATTGTTTCTGAAAGGGAGAGTTAAGGGCACATTCCTGGCTGCGGGGTCTTTAGGATAGTTTCAGCTTTGGGGGCCTTAATGAGCTGACTCATTCTCTGACAGCATTTATAACTACGCCAGGGATGCCAGGGAAGATGCTGACCCAGACTAGTGAGCCCCCTGGCATCCAGAGGTTTGCAATCTAACTAGAGAGCTGAAAAAAACAAAAACAAGGAACAAGGTACAATCGTTTAAAAAAAGTGCATTTTGAGCCTGGGGGTTCAAAGAGTTAAAGGCAGCTGCTGCAGCATGAGTTCAGGAGTTCCATCCCAGGCCAGGGAGGTGACCCACATGGTGCAGCAGACCTCTCCTGTTTCACCCTCAGCAGTGTACTTCATCTATCTGCTTACTCACTCCACACTCTGTCTCCCGTAAATCCTTTTACTGCCCCTGAACCTCTGGCCTGTACCCCAGCTCTGTATAAATAAACAGATCTTAAAAAAAAAAAAAATGGCAAGGAATAAAGCATTCATCAATTTAGAATATTCTCAGAAAAGTTATTTTTCTCTTGAGTCTGAGTGATGCCCATCTGCAAAATGAAGTTAGTAAAATTTCTGGTACCAGGTGGTGGGGGTGTAATGGACAAGCGTGTAGTGGGCACTCTATAAAGTGCAATGCTATGTTGAGTGGTAAGTGAACTCTGGCCACCAGTCCTGAGCTAAGCATGTTCTCTGCATTACTTCTGTTGTCCTTCATAACCACAGGTTTCCTATGGCTTTCCAGAAAATGGGCAGGTGGCTCAATCCCTTAAGAGAGCTGAGGCCAGTCACTGTGTCCTAGGAAAGAAAATAACTAAGGAAATCCAAGGACCTCCAGGACAGAGTTATGGTGGGATAGTGAGAAACAGTCAGACATACTCAAGCTCAAATCCAAGTTCTAGCAGTAACATCTAACTCTGACTTATGACAAGTTTATTTCCTTCTTTGAGCCATCCTTTCCTCTTCTCTAGAACAGGTAAAGCCTACTTCATAGAGAGAACAGTTGAGCGGATACAATAAAAGAGGTGAAAGGCCAACCTGCTTATTCTTGAAACTATATAAAAATATATTGATGAAATGGAATTTGAGGCCTGCAGCTTTCCTCACTGCTCAAATATCCTACTTCAAACATCTGCAGTCATTTTGCATTCTTGTATAAATTGAAAAACCCCTATCGACTGTCTGCCACAAAGGAGTTTTGGAGTGCTCAGTCATTTGTCTCTTTTTGAAAGAAAACCAAGGCCAAGAAGACTGCCACATGTCCATGTGTATCTAGATGATAATTTCTGCTCGGAGCTCTGTGCTCTGTGTCCTTTGGCTAGGTCTACTGTCAAAGTGGCACGTTGCCGTAGCACATAAATAAGAAAAATTGAAAGGTTTTACAGGCAAAATAGTAACCAGTTTTCATTGTGGGGTGTATGCTATTTGACTAGAAATCATATTTCAGAAAGTGCTAGAAGGCCTTTTTGTTTTTAAAAGATTTATTTATTTATACATACAGAACTGGGATACAGGCCAGAGGTGCAAGGGCGGTGAGAGGACTCACCAGAGACAGATATGGAGCAGAATAGGCAGATGGACGAAGTACGCTGCTGAGGGTGAGACAGGAGAGGTCTGCTGTGCATGTGGATCATCTCTGGGTTGGGGGATGGAACTCACACTGAAGTGGCTGTGGTAGCTTGCAGTGTTGTGTCCTAATCCATTGTGCCACCAGGGAGGGCCTACAAGGACTTCTGAGATCAATTTTTTTTAACGGAAATTGAGGCCCAGATGCATTAGATTACTCCTTTCTTGCCTGCTGTTCCTCTACTGATTTCAGTAGATCCACCTGTTCTGCCACCCACTCTGTCTCTGGTCTGGTGAATCATCTCATACTAACATCCTCTTTCTCCCCTACCTTCCCACACACCTCTCACCTATACCCCAGCTTCTTCTAGCCAAAACAAATAAAATCTTTAAAGAAAAAAAGTGTTGGTTCAGAGAAGTTAGAAAGACTAATTGACATCAAGAGGAGAACCAGTATCCCAGATCGCTGAAGACTGAGAACACATTTCAGTTTGCAAGTTCTATACACTGGCTCCATCCCAAACTAGCCAATGTGTCTACATCTCTCCTAAGAACTTGCCTAACACCCTGAGGGATGATTTCTCCTTCCTCTCTGCTGTGATGTCAAGATTGAGGTTCAGTGAATAAGGCAGGTCTGCAGGAGGGAATTTGTTCCTGCCAGATTGTCTGGTAATGAGGACCCCCAGATATTCCCACTGGAAAGTCACACCATCAGCTTATTACCTACCTGCTCACTATCAGCCAAACAGACAATGATGCTGGTGACACTCTCCTCTTAAGCACTTCGCAGTTTATAAATAACATCATATCCATCTCCCTATTTGTTTTCCTTCCCAATTTTGAGAAGGTAGCTTGAGGAGGATTCAAGGTTTGAGATGAAAAGTGAATTATTGATTTTTCAAAGAGGACTGTTAAAAAAAGAAGTCAGGGTCCTCCCTGGTGGTGCAATAGGTTAAAGTGCAGCACTACGGAGCTAGCCACAGCCTCTTCAGCATGAGTTTGATCCCCAGCCAGGGAGCTGACCCACATGGAGTGGCAGACCTCTCCTATCTCACTCCCCTCAGCAGTGTACTTCATCAATCTACCTGTTCTGCTTCCCACTCTGTCTTTGGTGAGTCCTCTCACCCCCCCAACCCCGCACCTCTGGCCTGTACCCCAGTTCTGTATGCATAAATAAATCTTTAAAAAGTCAAACAATAATTGCTCATTTGGAAGTTTTTCTCCAAGAAACTCTGAACATATTATTTCTTTGATTCCCCATCTATCTAATCCTAGATACCTCTTCAGAAAGACCCTTCCTAACCTACGGGATTCAGCGCTTACACTTATCTTATATTCTGTAAATGATATTGTTTTAAGCCCTTTCTATAGATCAACTCTATTAAACCTCATTATAAGTTTTAATAGAGAGTGTAAGATAGGAATATCATTATCACCTCCATGTGGGGTAGGCACTTTTATCTCCATAAATTGAGAGAACTAAGACACAGAAAGGATAAATAACTTTGTCAAAGTCACACAGTGAATAATGGGGCCTGGACTTGTGCTGGAGTCTACACACTACCTTCACTGTACTGACATCTCAAGATAATCCATTTTTCTGACAACATCTCTTTCCCTTTTTTTTGCACAAATTACTCTGCAATGATTAGTTGCTCACTTGTAAATTGACTGTTTGTCTTCCCTATCAGACAATAAGCCCCATGAGAATCCTATCTTATTTACATCATAATTTCTCTATAACCGTTTGTTAAATAAATGAAAAGTATAAAGATTGCAACAAAATTTAAAAAATTAATTTTCTTTGAAACAATTTCATACTTATAAAACAATTGCTTGAGTGACCCAAAGAACTTTGCCCACAGGCTAAAGTTAAGCCAAATGTTCCCCCAATATACCTTAAAGCCGGAGGAGATCCAGCCCAGGTTCACTTAAATAACATATTTATTGAGCACCTGCTGCTATTGGATAACATAACAATTTCCTACCTGGTTTCTCAGCTGCAGTCATTACCGAGTCTCATATCAGCCAAAGCGAGTCCAGATATGCTCCCATCTTAGAACTTCCCCACCAACATTTTCTTATAATTTCTCTCAGGTCTTCGGATGGTTAATTCTCCCACCTCTTTCTTGGTTCTTAAAACGCCTCACCCCATCTCCCTTACCCTATTTTTTCCCTCCTTAGCACTTAAAACGTTCTAATAGGCTATGCCATTAATTATTATATATATTATGTTCTGTTTTTTTCTACTAGAGTAAGCCATGGTTGAGAATAGGGATGTTTATCTATTTTGTTAAATATCCCAAGTGCCTGCGACTGTACCTGGAGAATAGAGAGTGTTCAACAAACAGCTGTTGAACGGACCGAATGTTGACGGTAAATTAAGTGCCACGGACTGCCCTGGCAGTGGGGAGGCGACAAGACAAAAACTCCCTGCCCTCGTGGAACTCACACTGAAGGTTACTTAATCCAGCCCGACCTATAATATACCAATCTCGGCTCCGCCGACTGTTCCCTGCAAGATTTGGCGGTTAGCTATTCATGAAGATTAAACAGCTTTGCATAGCATTTAACATAAGACACGCTTTAACGTGTGTCTCCCTTCATTCCAGGTTGGAAGACTGATAGCTTGACATCTCTATCACAGGTATAGGAAAGATTTTCAAAAGGCCTTGTGAAGGTGCAAATAGGATATTATGGCCAGGCTTACCCCAACTTTTAACTGACGATGTTCTGATGAGAGAATGCTTAAAAGGGTCGGAGTGACAAACCAGGGATCGAGAGTCGCCGGCTTCGCTGTTTTGCATCGGAAAAGCTACAATGGGTCCCTAGAGGTGTAACAGTAGGAAGGGAGAGCGGGTCACAACCGAAAACTACAAATCCCAGCATCCACCGCGACAGACACCTACGGGTCGCAGCAGGTCCCGTTCACAGGACCGTGTCGGCCTCTAGCGGCGCGTAGCCTGTGTTCGGCCGCAGAGGGCGTGGGGCGTGCCGAAGCCGCGGCGAACATCGGGTCAAGCTTTACGCCGCTGCGCAGTCGACTCTCGCGGGCCGGACGTGACGTAGGGAGAGTTCCGGCTTCGGCCTCCGCCGCTGCCGCCGCTACTACAGCCGCCGCTGCCACAGCCGCCGCCGGGGCTTGTTATTTCTAAAATGGCGCCCCTAGACTTGGACAAGTATGTGGAGATAGCGCGGCTGTGCAAATACCTGCCGGAGAACGACCTGAAGGTGAGCCCTGCCCGGCGGGAGCCTTGCTTGCGGGACTCCCCCCTTCCGGCAGTGTGTCGCCGCCGGCCCGCCCTTCCTCTCTTCGCGGGACCCCTGACGGGCATCCCGTCGCGTCACGGTGGGGGGCCTGACGCGGTGCGAAGCGCCGGGTCCGACTTGGCGTCGCGCGGAGAGCGAGGGGACCGCGGGTCCTCCGAATGCTGTCCCGCTGCCCGCGGCGGGAACCCGAGTGTTGTTGGCGGCCTCTGCCCCGCGGTTGCTCCCCCTGACCTTCCGCTGCCCCGGGGCTCCGAGCCCGAACAGCTTTGCCTAGAAGACGCCTCTCCCCGAGCCCCTCTTTCCAGTGGCCGGAGCCCGGCCAAGCCCCAGCGGGCAGCGCCCTCGGGGTGGGGTCATCCCGCGGGGGTGGTGACAGCGGGCGGCGGGGTTGACAGATGCCGCGGGCTCCCGGGCATCAGGTTTAGGTGCCTGAGGGTGGGAAGGTGCTGAGCGGTATGATGGTGAGGCGAGAACGTCAGGTCGTCCGTCTTTCCTTGCCGCCCCTTCAAGTCGCTTTTTTAAAGAGTTGCTTTTTTATTTTTCAGCGAATTCAGACAAGAATCCCCCTTTCGAGTACGTTGTTGAGCTAATGTAAGTGGGTAGAGTAGTAGGTCTTCGATAAGTGCAAATACTTAGCTGTCTCCCAAGTTATTTCCCCTGAACTCCTCCGTAACAGGAAGATGTCATAGTTGTTGTGGGTTTTTTCCCCCTCATTTTCTTGTTTTTTTCTAAAGGAGATGATTTGTTCCTTTTTGCTGCTGAGTGCAAGTAACAGTAAATGTATGTATGGTTAAAGGAATGGAAGGCTTTCATATATTGCATTTTATTTTAAGATTTATTTATGCATACGGAACTGGGGTACTGGCCGGAGGTGTGGGGGTGGGGCTGAGAGGATTCACCAGAGACAGAGTGGGGAGCAGGACAGGCAGAACCACGGAGTCTTCTGCTGAGGGGAGCAGCGGGCCGGTCAGGAGAGGTCTGCCGCGCCATGTGGGTCACCTCCCAGGCGGGGATTGAACTCATGCTGAAGTGGCTTTAGCTTCTTGCTGCTGTGCTTTAACCCGCCGCGCCACCAGGGAGGGCCCGATGTATTTCTTTTTTAAAAACTGTGTTTGTTACAACCAGGCCTTAGGTGTCTAGCAATGTTTAGCAACTACTGCCAAAACCTGCTTTATTTGCTTAGTTAACTTTGGTTTGCTACATCAACTTGATAGTTGTCAGTTCATTTTATTATTTAAGCTGTGGGTTTAAAGCAATTTGTCCACAGATTCTTTCTCTTAAAGAAGATAGTATTTTTTTTTCTTTGCTATTTCTTTTGGTACAGGAAGTTGATATTTAACATCAGTTAATAGTATGCAAAATGTTTAAGGCCACAGGAGCTGTTGTGAATGTAACTTATTTGCATATGTTAACTATATGTACTATATGATAGGGAAGTCATTTTTGGACACATCTCTTTTTTTTTAAAGATTTATTTATTTATGCATACAGAACTGGGGTACAAACCAGAGGTGCAGGGGCGGTGAGGGGATTCACCAGAGACAGAGTGGGGAGCAGGACAGGCTGACTGATGAAGTACACTGCTGAGTGGAGCAGCGGACGGGCCAGTAGAGGTCTGCTGCACCATGTGGTCACCTCCGGGGCAGGTGGGGATGGAACTCATGCTGCAGTGGCTTTAGCTTCTTAGTGCTGTGCTTTAACCCGCTGTGCCACCAGGGAGGGCCCTGGACACATCACTTTTTAATTGGATAACTTAATTAAAAAGAAAACAAAGTCAATATTAATAGAATTGTAGCTTGCATGCTTATCTGAGTCTTTTGGTTTTTAGGTTTGTGGCTTCTTTCTGCTATATCCATTTTTTTTTAAAGACTTGTTTATTTTATGCATACAAGAAATGGAGTGCAGGCCAGAGGTGTAGGGGGTGAGAGGATTCACTAGAGACAGAACAGGCAGATCTACTGAAACACATTGCTGAAGGGAGCAACCGTTGAGACAGGAGAGGTCTGCTGTGCCATATGGGTCACCTCCCTGGCCGGGGATCCAACTCGTGTTGCAGTGGCTGCGGATTGTTTCATAGTGCTGTGTTTAACTTCTTGTGCCACCAGGGAGGGCCCTTGCTGTATCTATTTTTTAGGAAATGACAATACAATTAAGATTCATGGAAAACTAGCCAGACCTCTTTTGGTAGCACTGTTACTTAAAGTTCCATAGGTGAAGTTGATTTTTACATATCAATGAATTGATGGGAAATTTTCTATTATAAATAAGGCTGTTGTACCTTGTAATGAATGTATCTTGATATTAACTTGAATTGGATATTAAAATGATTTGGAAGAAAATCAGTTGGAATTTCTTTAGGTTTTAGTTTGATAAATAATAGATTTCCTTCCCACTTTAAGAAAGTGTAATAATAAAGCCATTTCATTTCCCTTTGCAACATAGTTTGGCTGTTCTTAGGGTATCTGTTTCTTACTTGTCTTTCTTAATCTTTCTGGGCAACTGCTGAGGAAAAATACTCTAAATTTTTCTCTGTAAGTGTAAGCTTTTCTTCTTTGCCTTGGACATGTCTTTATCAGGTTAATTTGCTTGTGCTGCTGTCTCTGGTGTTTTCAAGGAAATTTACTTTTGTTTGTCAGCATGAGATGCAAATTAATAATAGACAAGCCAAGAAAGTAGGAGCGTCTTTTCGGATGCTTTGAAGTCAAAAACAAAAAATTCTGTCTGAGGAAGAAAAGAAAATATTGGGGTTACTTAATGAGCATGATGGCAAAGATTTGTTCTGATAGAAAACAGAAATTCACTGGGATTTTTAATTGACATGAGTTTTAAATTGACTAAAAATAGTAAAGAAACTATAAATACATCGAATGTTCTAGCTCTACTAACAATTTCTGTGTATCTAAACTGAAAGTGATCAAATCACCAGTGCTGGATTAAATCTGTCCATATATAACTATTCTGTTGAAATATGGATGGGATATATGTGAGTAGACCAGGGTATAATCTTTCTTATAAAGTGCTCATTTGATACTCATCCACAGTAAAGATATCAGAGAGGATCTTGGAAGATGTAGATTTCATATTTGGTCAAGTGAGCAAGGGAATGATAAAAGGCAGGTTTACTGAATGCTTAAACCTTTTAAAATGTGCTTTTTTTTGTTTTGTCTTGTCTAGGAGAGGGAGTCTAGAGGGATTATCTGATCTCCTGGATAGTTACTAAAGAAATTGCACCGCAAATTGTTTTTCTTTTTCATGTTTCAGATATTTATCGCTGTAAACCCCAACACAATATAAAGATTTGGGGCAAGTATTCTGGGTTCAGATGGCTTCTGGAAGACCTTCATATTTAAGCAGTGAAATATTTCATTTAGAAATATGGGTCTTCTTAAGTTTGCTGTCTTCTGCAAACTGAGCAGAACTGGTATTGATCATTGGAACCCAGTTTGTTCAGGGTTCTGGGTAATTCTTTCCAGCTGACCTATGGGTCAGATCAAACAAAGCCAGACACGTGACACACAGTGCCCCTCCCCTCCAGCTCTGGTAAATATAAAGAAGGGGATCAAGCTTGGTGGCTTCTTGGCCCAACTAAGGATCTGGTGGAGCATGGCTGTGAGATAGGCCTTGGGCCAGGAAAGAGAACAATTCAGCAAGGCCCAACATAAGTTTTTTTTTTTAAACCGCGGAACTGAAGATGGTTACCCCAGTAGGGGTTGGGAGAATAATATTGTCTGTCTGAAGAGTTGCAGTACAAGGAGTTGTATGATTCCATAGCAGTTTCTATGGATAATAGTTAACATAATCTTTTTAGAACTCATTTATGTTTAGTCTGAGCCATCTCTGAGTTTTTCTTAAGACTACCTGCTTTACAAAGTTGTACCTCTTTCTTTAATGCCTCCATAAAGCTTTGAAGAATTCTCCCTTGCTTTTTTTCTGGGATTGGGTGAATGTCTTTTGTAACTCTTCATTAAATCTTAAGTCATATGTGGCCTTATAGTCTCATATATAAGTTATGATATCTGTCTTTATTTATATGAGATGTCTTTGTCCTTCCAGCCTTGACGCCTGTTGATCTTATCACTCATGGTAGTCCTTATCTTCTTGATTCTTCTGTTTACCTGAATTTTTGATTTTGCATTGTGTTTTTCTTCCAAGTATGCAAGGAAAACTGAACAGAGTACTGCACTTAGGAACCGTCCATGGCTTTGTATGAGACAAGAAGAGGTTTATTTTTTTTAACATTTTTTTAATTAAGGCATCGTAACTGAGGTACAGGCCAGCGGTGTGGAGGGTGAGAGGATTAACCAGAGAGAGTGGGGAGCAGAACAGCCAGAGCAACTGAAATACACTGCTGAGGAGAGTAGAGCGCGAGACAGGAGAGGCCTGCCGCTCCATGTGGGTCACTTCCCTGGCCTGGGATGGAATTCATGCAGAAGCGGCTACAGCTAGCTTGTAGCACTGTGTTCTAGACTGTTGCGCTGTGTTCCAGACCTTTGTGCCACTAGGGAGGGCCCCAATCTGTATACTACTTTTAAACAAACATTTCTTTAAATGTCTCCTTGTGTCAAATACTATTCTAGCACTGTGAATGCTAGAGC